CCTAATGCTGTCACTGCCAAAGGCTGCTGTGGGGTGCTACCCACCTCCCGCACTATACCTACGCACGAGGCAGCATTTAAAGTCGGGTGACCACAAAGTCGAGGGGATGCAAGGACTTCGTCGTCCAAATGCATACGTATGTCATGTACCGAGCTGAATCGACTTTACTGAGAATAAGGCAACCTATGTGGATTAGAACTAAAAGTTGTTAATAAATCTGAAAATAACAAAATAATATCTTGGTTCTCTAATCAAATTATTTTGGCTATTAAGAAATTCCCGGGTTTCAATAATTCCAATACCACCCTACAAGAAGAAATCATTTTGTATTCGTAATCAGTGTACCATTTTTTTCTACTATGTAACTTTAATTTTACATTAAGTGCCAAAGAAAGTCACAAATTGAATTGAAATTTTGCCTCCAAGAATGACACCGATCCTCCGAAGAACTTTTGCTCACCGGATCCTTTTTCTTAAATTCACCATTATAAATTTCTTAAATTTCTGGCATTAATCTACAAATTTTATTTAACTTGTAACACTAACTTTTACTATATAAGGTTGAGTTTATATTTGCTTTGCAATGGGACAAAATTGAATATATTTACATCGCATTCATTAAATGTGCCTTCATCAAAGCCTGGAGAGGAACTACTTATACCTTCCGATATCGCAACACCGCCAATTTCGGGGCCCAAGGACGCATGCTTTCGCAGACACTGGGCATGCCACCGCAAGTGAATATCATCCCTCCTCTAAACAGGGTACTTTAAATGTTGAGGGCACGAGAATATAATACTTAAATCTTCTTACGAGTCCACCCAGGAACTAGTGGTGCTTCAAACACATGAACTTTCTCGCATCAGTAACGGTTACGTGGCATTTTCTATCCATATTAACACATCTCAAGTATCACGTCTAAAGCTCAATAAGAATCGTAGCGAATTAGGAGCGAAAATTTCTTTTATTTCAAGGTAATACATCAACTCCCAGTCTACAATCCACTCAAACTTGCGAATTCGAAAAAGGTCAGACACAGAGAGACAGAGAAACACAGCCAAGAGACAGACGTTCGTCGTCAATCGATTTTTCTGTATGAAGGACTCACAAAACATCGATCTGACCAACATGTTAAAAGATATACTACATATAGGTAAGATAAGTTACTACATATAGGAACAAATTTGTCCACTTTTTCCGTTACCAAGGCGCGGCAATAAGAGTTTTTTGTGCAAAAATCGGCGTTTTCATGCAGCTTTTTGCGTATCTGCGTAAGCAGTATGTGAGAAGGTAAATACGGTCACGCTACGCAACTGATCACAGCTCCGATTAACAGCAAGTGGAGACATGTCAAATATTATGGGGAGGGAAACGACTACCTCACATAGATTGGTATTGAAAGCAGTTAGGCTAACGTTTTCAAAAATTTGAAAGGGGTTAAATGTTTCAAGATAATGTAAATTTCTAAAAGCCAAATAAATTGAAAACATTTCATTCAATAATGCCTCATAATTTTAATTGAGTTAATTTCTGCATTGTCAAATCTGTGTGTGACGTACGAGGCAGATAATTATTCTGCGTATGCTTTCTTGAGCTCCCGAATACCTATCCTACACTTTTTTACTATACCTCCATAGTTGAATTAAGAGTAAATGTACCAACGAGCATTGTTTGCAACATTTGAAAACTAGAAATGTTCGCTCCCATGCAAGCATTATTATATTATTACTAGCATATATTATTTAGGAAATTAAAAGGTATAGCCATTATTTTAGCAACGTTTAGTAAATACTTTTATACTTTCCTGCCGAATCACTGGGGGAAATATATGACTAAACATACAATATTTAGGAAAATATATTTTAATCTAATGAATATATTAACAGACTTTTAGAATATGCATACGAATTATTTAATTTTTTTATTAAATTTTATTTTGCCTTCTTTGGCCATTTCGACGTAAATGTCATTTTAATATGTACATGTTTAGATGCCCGTTTTTAATTTATATTTCCGTGTCCTGTATTAAAATTTAACGTTTAAAACGCGGACAGCTTTACTAATAACAGCTGTCCACCGCTGACGCGCGCGCGTGTGTGTATGTATGTGGTATATTTGTATGCTGCGAGAGAGAGAGAGAGAGAGAGAGAGTGTGTGTGGTGTATGTGTGTGTGGGGTGTGCCAGAGAAGAAGATCAATAAAGTTGAAAACATTTATTAATAATGCCTCATAATTTACTTGAGTTAATTTATGCATTTAAATCTATGGTGACGTACGAGGCAGATAATTATTCGCGTATGCTCTGAGCTCCGAAACCTATCTACTTTTTATATACTAATAGTGATAAGAGTAAATGTACAGAGCATTGTTTGCAAAACATTTGAAAAATAGAAATGTCGCTCCAGCAAGCAATTATATTATCTACAGATATATTATTTAGGAAATAAAAGATATAAGCCATTATTTTTAGCACGTTTAGTAAAATACTTTATACTTTCTGCGAATCACTGAGGGAAATATAACAAACATACAAATTAGAAAATATTTTAATCTAATGAATATATTAACAGACTTTAGAATATGCATCGAATTATTTAATTTTTTTATAAATTTTATTTTGCCTTCTTTGGCCATTCGACGTAAATGTCATTTAAATAGTACAGTTAGATGCTCGTTTTAATTTTTTCCGTGTCTGTATTAAAATTTAAGTTTAAACCGGACAGCTTTACAATAACAGCTGTCACACGCTGACTGCGCGCGGTTGTGTGTATGTATGTGGTATATTTGTATTGCTGCGAGAAGAGAGAGAGCGAGAGAAGTGTGTGTGTATGTGTGTGGGTTTGTGTGTGTGTGTGTGTGTGGTGTGTGTGGTGTGTGTGGGGGGGGTGATGGGGTGTGTGTGTGAGTGGGTGTGTGTGTGGGGGGGTGAAAGGGTATGTGTTGTCTGTGAGAGGGGGGGTGTGGGGGGGAAGTGTGGTGGGGGGGGGGAAATGTGTGTGTGAGTGGAATGTGTGTGTAGTGGGGTATGGTGTGTGGAAGTGGGGTATGTGTGTGAGTGTGAGAGTGGGTATGTTGTGTGTGTGAGAGTGGGTATGGTTGTGTTGTGTGAGAGTGGGTATGTGGGTGGGTAGAGTGGGGTAAGTGGTGTGGTGAGAGAGTGGGGTATGTGTGGTGTGAAGTGGGTATGTGTGTGTGTGAGTGGTGTATGTGTGGTGTGAGTGGTTATGTGTGTGTGTGAGTGGTGTAAGTGTGTGTTAGTGGTGTAATTGTGTGGTGTAGTGTGCTATGTGTGTGTGTGGAGTGGTGTAGTGTTTGTGATCGGTGTAGTGTGTGGTGTGTGTGGGGTTATGTGTGGGTGTGAGTGTGTATGTGTGTGTAGTGGTGTGTGTGTGGTGGTGTATGTGTGTGGGTTGTGTATATGTGTGGGTGCTTATATGTGTGGGTGGTGTATGTGTGTGGGTGGATGTTGTGTGGGTGGTGTATGTGTGAGAGTGGAGTATGTGTGTGGGAGTGGGGTATGGTGATGTGTGAGTGGGGTATGTGTGTAGTGGGGTAAGGGCTGTTGTGAGTGGGTTGTGTGTGTGAGTGGGGTATGTGTGTTGGGGGGTATGTCTTGGTGAGTGGGGTATGTGTGTGTGAGTGGGTATGTGTGTGTGAGTGGGTTAATGTGTGTGTGAGTGGTATGTGTGTGTGAGTTGGGTATGTGTGTGTGATGGGGTATGTGTGGTGTGAGTGGGGTTAAGTGTGTGTGAGTGGGGTGTGTGAGGGGGTAATGTGTGTGTGAGTGGGGTATGTGTGTTGATGGTGTAATGTGTGTGTGAGTGGTGTGTTGTGGGTGGTGTATGTTGTGTGGTGTAGTGTTGGGTGGTGTATGTGTGTGTGGTGTATTTGTGTGGTGTTATGTTGTGTGCGGGTGGTGTGTGGCGGTGTGTTGTGTGTTGCGGT